TCTCTATCCGTCGTAAATTGCAGCCACACATCTCTCAATTCATAATAGAGATGTGTGGCTCCAATTCACGACGGGTAGAGAGTGGGTAGGGAAAGTGACTAGGAAATCCCTAGTGGATTAAAAGACCTAGGAGTACAATTTACTGACACCTAAAAGAAGGTGAGATAAAAGGTTCTTGCAGCCAATAGGAGTGTGATGACACTCCAAGTAGGCCGGGGATTATCCTTCCAACAAGAGTTTGATTAAAATCTCAGCATCACCTTCAAAAATGACGGCATTTGTGTCCATAGAACAAACTTCATAAAATCCAAACCTAATCCAAAGTCTCAAACCTTAAGTTTGGGCTTTGATTAACTTAATTATGACTAAAAAAGTTAACTACAAATTAATTTAATTATGACTATAGCCTAATTTTATATATTTATTGATCTTTAAGTATTTTAAATATTTATGTGATATTTACAAAAAATAAAAACATTTAACCATTAATAAAGTAAAATAAATAAAATAGAACATTAACAAATAATATGGAAAAATAATTATTTTATTAAGTAATTAGAAATAATTTATTTTTTGTTAAAAATATTAATATAATTCATCTAAATTATTAAATTACAAAATTAATAAAACATTTCTGAAACAAATTATTAAAATAAAAATTTATTTATTTTAAATAACATTATATTATTTCCCATGTGCATGATTTTTGTCTCCTACCAATCTAGCAACGCCCACAACTAATAAAAACCAATTGCCTTAAAAAAAGGGAGAGTGATGGTTCAGCCCAGCGTTAGAATTCATAGGCTCAAAGTATAGTTGGGGTAGATGTTAGCTCGGAATTGATGCCAATTCACAGCAGGCATTGCTGTATAGGGTGTGGGTAATCTTATATATATATAAAAGGATATGGGTGCTCTCTACACTCAGGAAATGGAATCTACTTGTGCGAGTAGATCCCACATGCGAGCACTCATTTCCAATAATTAATTACAGTAATTAATTATTAGTTACTAACTAATAACAATAATTATTAATTAATTATAGTAACTAATAGTGTAATAACATGCACCCATTTCTAGTAATTAGTTACTAATTAATTATTAATTAATAACAATAATTTCTAATTAATTATTGTAATAATAATTACTGATTATCACAGTAATTTAATAAATATATAATTAGTGATTATAATTAATAATTACTATTATTATAAATATTGTTAATAACTAGATATTTACTTTAATTTTACTTTAAATTAAAATTATAAACATTGTTATTAAAAAATACTGTTAATAAATTTAGTGACCCAATTTTAATAATTACTGATTATTACAGTAATTTAATAAATATATAATTAGTGATTATAATTAATAATTACTGTTATTATAAATATGTTAATAAATAGATGTTTACTTAAATTTTACTTTAAATTAAAATTATAAATACTGTTAATAAATATAGTAATTATTGTTATATTCAAAACAATTAAAAATGTTATTGTTATTGATTATTTAATAAAATATTATAATTACTGACTATCACTAATAAATACTGTTAATTTAATTTAATTTTGGTAATTATTAATTTAATGAATATTGTTAATAAACCTTATTCATAAATTTAATAATTACTGTTATATTAAAAATAACTAAATAATATTATTAAAACTATCATTAATGATGATTTAATTAAATAGTATAATTACTTACTATTATTGATAAATGTTGTTAATAGCGTTCTAACAACCGACTCTTCGACTGTTTAGTTCGAACGGGTGGCCCGTTATGACAACAAAAATTACAAGCAAAAAATTACAGAACCATTTTGGCCACCGATTTTCGGGTCGACGGTTCGATCATCTGGTTCAAACGGACAGTTCGTTCTAAAAAATTATAGGCAAAAAATTGGGTTTGTGAGGTCCATTAAGTAATATCATGTGTTATGTCATTTGTGTGTGTGACTCATACGACCCGAAAATGGAACCATTTTGGCCACCGGTTTTTGGATCGACGGTTCGGCTGTTAGTTCAAATAGACGGCCCATTCTGACAACAAAAAATTTTAAGCAAAAATTTACGGAACCGTTTTGGCCACCGGTTTTCAAGTTAGCGGTTCGATTGTTCGGTTTGAACGGACAGTCTGCTCTAACAACAAAAATTATAGGCAAAAAATTGAGTGCGTGAGCTCCATTGAGCAATATCATACATGTTATGTCATTCAAGCATGTGACTCATATAACCCAAAAATGGAACCATTATGGCCACCATTTTTTGGGTCGACAATTCGAACGGCTGACCCGTTTTGACAACAAAAATTAAAAAAATAAAAAAACAGCTAAAAACCATTGAACGGGTCAATGGGTTGACGGTTTGACCACTCAGGTCAATGGGTCGTTGACCGATTCAATGGTTTTTGGCTAGGGACCAGGATTGGGGTAAAGAGGAATTGGTTGCCTGGACAGTTTCCAATTAAAAAAATAAAAGAAAACGGGCGACCCATTCTGACAACAAAAATTACATGCAAAAAATTGAGTGTGTGAGGTCCATTAAGCAATACCATACGTGTTATGTCATTCGAGCGTGTGACTTATACAACCTGAAAACGGAAACCGTTCTGGCCACCGGTTTTTGGGTCAATGATTTGACTGTTCAGTTCGAACAGATGGCCTGTTCTGATAATAAAAATTAAAAAAATAAAAAAAACGACCAAAAACCATTGAACGGGGCAATGGTTCAACTGCCTTGGGTCAATGGGTCGTTGACCAATTCAACGATTTTTGGCTACGGACCGAGATTAGGATAAGATGGAACCGGTTGCCTAGATGGCCAATTAAAAAAATAAAAAACAATCAAAAACCATTGAACATATCAACGAAATCAATAATTTGACTGCTTAGACCAATAGATCATTGACCGATTCAACAATTTTTTGCCAAAAACCGAATCAACGGATCGATAGGTTGACAGATCCATTCTAGGGGCTGTCCGTATTTTTTCATAAAAAAAAAAGATTTTTATAATTCAGTCCACCTCACAAAATTAATAAAACCCGTCCACAATTTTGTCCTTTTTAGAAATTATGGTCGCACGTAGGCCCTACGGTGACAAACACAATTCTATATAAAGAACTTCGCAACATCACAATTCACACGTCAGAGAGAGAGAGAGAGTCGGGACTTATCCGCACATTTTTAAAAAACTAGGCCTTATCTTATCTGCGTTTCATAAGCAGTATCTGCGTTTCATAAGCAGATGGCCAGATCATCTTTCCTGCTCTCTATTGTTGGTCAATTTCTTTAGTCTATAACAAAAATTAGGCAGAGGAAAGAGAAAAAAAAACAAGTCAACAAGAGAATAGTGATCAGAAGGACAAGAATCTTACTATGCCAGGCAATGCTGAGCTGGATGTTAAGGATGGGATCAACCCTATTATTGTTTTGAAGCGCAAACAAAGGTGAGTGGGTCCCGCCACCCTGGTACAGTGGAGCCCCTTCTCCTTAGATTACAAACAATTTGTCTTTTGTCCAGGATATTAAAATAGATTGTGTCTCACTGTCTTTATCCACGGCAATTACCACGTTTTCGGTCTTCCCCACAAACCAGCAACTCTCCATGATCCATGTAATTTTGATTACCGAATATCGATTAATTAATTAATCATCTTCACCCTTTTCCTTAGAATTTTGGTCGTGCTGGACCCCCTACGGCATCTTCCAGCGATCACTATGATTAGGTCGATCTGGGCCGTCCGTTTCCTAGGTGTGGGACATGGAATAATAAACAATTGAAAACTGATTATGAACTTAGATATAGTTGACCATGGATAAGTCCTCACATCGTAAGGGTGTTAAATACCTTAATGCCATATCGAAAATAGGGCTGTGTTTTTTTGAGGAAATTATACGGACCGCTGCACCATGTGGTCGCTGGCATGTGACAATTATCCCTCGTGAACTTTCCTTTTTGATAAAGACTTCCTGAACTTTTATATTTTTAAAAGATTCCCATTCGGCGTTTAAAGTTTTTTAAATTTAATTTTCTAAATTACCCTTTTTCTTACTATTTTACCCTCAGTTAAAAAAAAATATTTGGCTAACCTTGAAATCTTATTCTACTTATTTGCGCTCTTCAATGATTTGCTTTCTTCTGCTCAACTTCTCTATCGTTTTATTGATTTAGGGGCGATGTTATTGTTGGGCATGAATGCCTCAGCACTAGAGTAATTGACGCTGAAACTTCTGTAGGTTGGCCAATTTTGGTGATTTTTAGAAAATTGGCCAAAAATCGTTTCTTAAAATTAGCTTTTTTAAGGAATTATTATTTTTGATGGTTTCCTAATTTCCAACTGATTCTGGTTTTTTGAGGATGACATCGCTTCCAATGTGACATTAAATAATAACTTCAATGTAGTCATTGAGAATTAGTATCAAAGAAATTCAAAGTCAATTTCTCAAAAATTGACTACATGATAAAAATAATATTAAAGAACAAAATTTACCAATTTTTAAAAATCACTGATTCCAAAAATCATCAATTTTTAAAAAAATTAGTAAGAAAAAATCAACATCAATACCAAACACCACTTTATTTTTTAACCCTAAAACGCAACAGGTTTCCATTCATTCTTTTTCTCACAACGACGATCAAACATGCTTCAATTTGTTCCTTCTTCAGCAACAACGATAAGCTTCGACTTGTTTTTTCTTCTCCGAAGATAGTGAAGAAACAATGGATTATTTCTTGTTTTCGGATAAGGTAGGCCCATATTATAAATACGTTAAATGAGCGCTTAAAATTAAAATATAAGGGTATTTTAGTAATTTAGTGTATTTTATCATTCGATTGGCGACTCGACTAACGACCAGAGTATTTATGGCAAATGAAAGCCGACGATCCATAGTAGGGGGTTCCATGTAATTTAACCTTTTGTTTTCCATTCGAAGAATCCGCGAGGATATTCGTGACTACAAATTTCCTCTCTTTTTTATATATTTTTATTTTTTTAGAGACTGCAGAGTTATTTATGTGAGTCCTACCTTTGAGAAACTTGGAGGTGGAGGCGTGGAGCCTCCGACTATTTGTTGTCGATTCCTTCAGTTTTACAAAACGGGAAAACAAAACGTAGAGAGAGAGAGAGAGAGAGAGAGAGTTTGAGTTGTGTGTGTGAGAGAGAGAGAGTTTGTATGAGTTTGAGTTGTTTGTGAAGCGTCAGGAAGATTTGCTTCTTGTGTCCGTCGCCCTTGAAACGATTGATGATTTCTCCTGGCTTGGTTTCCTCATATTCAGTTTGCAGCGATGCAGCTGGAGTCGCGGGTACCCTTCTATTCCCTTTTATGCTTGATTTTAAATTGTTGCTTGATATCTGTTTTATTTTTATAATTTGCCTGATATCTGTTCGATTCTCTTCTTTTTCTCATTTTATTGGTGTTGACGAACCAAAAGGCATGATTGCTTTTCTTGTGCAATGAAAAACAAGAATCCATAATTGAATGTGTTTTTTCTTGGAAAAATTCATTTTTTCTTCTCCAGGATTTTTTCATGTTTCTTCAACTAGCAGAGCATTGCAACAATTTATTGCTTTCTGGGTTTTGTTTAGGATCAAGTTCGACAGCATATCATGATTTTAAATGCAATATATATCACCCCCCTTCAGAGGTAGTGGTGTGTTTTGGTAGAGAGAATTTCTGACTGAGAAAGAGCCTTTTCATTTGGTAAAGGGTTCCAAGTAATTTGATCTTAACGCAAAGGAATGGTTAAGGGGGTTTTATTTGTGCTTGTTAAAGAATTAGGAAAGACAATCAAGCTTGAAGTCGAAAGTATGTTTTCCAATTTCCTCCAAGGGTCTTCTCCCTAAGATGAAGGAGACATACTTTTACTTCAGAAATGCGAATATTTTGTTGAAAATTAAAAATTGATAATCTCCCACGCATTTCCAACCATTTGGAAGCCAAAGTGGAAATTCACCTCAGAATACCTTTGCACCAGCCGTTTAGAGAAGGAGTCCTATAATTGCTTATCTCAAAATTTCCCCTCAGTTTCTGTTTATTTTGCAGGAAACATTGGAAAAGAAAGTACTTTCCGGGAAAACAACTTCCTGAACTTTTAACAAGAAGTTTGTTTTTTTTTTTTCAAAAATGCAGAACTGAGCATGACAGAGGACTTGAGACCTCGGCTCTATCTACTCTGACAATGGATTTTTGGTGGGTCCCACCTAGTTGGGGCCTTAGCCTTATTGGACTCGCTTTGAAAGTTTTGCCATGTGGAACCTTTGTTTTCCAAGTTGCACTAAAAAATAAGAAAATAAATTTCTAGAAAATTTTATGGTAACAAAATGCTTTCTAGAGAACAAAATTTCCAACAAATAGGGAGCCTTGAAGTATTTACCCGACTTTCTACCATAACAATAATTTTGTGCATCTGGTATCACATTTTAGATGCTCTGATTAATTGGACTTCCATAAGCTTTGCATAGAAGATCTCTAATGCCCATTTCTCCTTTTGTGTAGGGAACCTTTTTGCCTTTGTGCTGTTTGTCTCACCAATGTAAGTTTCTCTGTCACCATTTTATTTTTTATGATGCAAGACTTCAAAGAATTATCTGTTTACCAGACTTGATATTGTTTTTTGTCCTCTTTTCCAGACCCACATTTAGGAGAATTGTCCGAAATCAATCGACAGAACAGTTTTCAGGATTGCCTTATATATATGCCCTCTTGAACTGCTTGATCTGCCTCTGGTATGGCATGCCCATTGTAACACCTGGTATTATATTGGTTGCTACAGTCAATTCCGTTGGGGCAGTTTTCCAACTTATCTACATTAGCATCTTCATTACATATGCTGAAAAAGCAAAAAAAGTAAGTTTCTTATCTAGATTTACCTGCAACTATCACTGTGAAGGGATCTCTGATGGTATGATATATTTGCTATTATTAATTTATGGATATTACTGGCAGGCAAAGATGGTGGGATTATTGTTGGCAGTTTTTAGCTTATTTGCAGTAATAGTACTCGCAAGCATGAAGTTATTTGACTCTTCTACAAGGCCAATCTTTGTTGGATATTTGAGCGTTGCTTCTCTCATATCCATGTTTGCTTCCCCATTGTTTATAATTGTATGTTTCTTTGGAACCTTCTGCACTTTGCTTTCTTGTTGGCGTTCTTCTTGTTTACTTTAAGTCTTTAACTAGCTCAAAAGAAATCATACACATTTTTTTAAACAGCTTACTGCTTATTTTGTGTCATTAATTTTATTTGTTTTGATTTCCCACACAAGAATTTAATTTTCTATAGATATTTACTTGTGCAGAATTTAGTGATCAGAACAAAGAGTGTTGAATTCATGCCCTTTTATCTTTCCCTTTCAACCTTCTTGATGAGCATCTCTTTCTTTGCTTATGGGATGCTTAAGTGTGATCCTTTCATTTATGTAAGAATCCTTTAACACTTGTGTTTGTTTTCCTTCGTTTCAAGTAATTCATATTTTCATGAACAAAATATTTTAGTATATGACTGATTTTTTGTTACTCTTCCTTATAAATTTCAGGTTCCAAATGGAATCGGAACTATTCTGGGAGCAGTACAATTAATTTTGTACTGTTATTACAGCAAAACATCAAGAGAAGACTCAAGAGAACCTTTGATAGAATCATATGCTTGAGTGTATTTGTTAGTAATTAATCCAACTTGCAATTTGTTTGTTATACTATTGCGAGGCATTTTTTTTTTTACCAATATTATGTTTTGAGGTATCTTGCATCATTTGTTGATGGAAAAGTTGGAAGTTGGAATTGTAAATCTTCACAGAAACATGTTTTATTATTCACTGCATTTAATAAAAATAAATATACATCTTATGAAAAAATGGATATTTTGGTACTTCATCCTTTTGTTATTCCTTCTGCTTAGGCTTTATTAGAGGAAATGAACTCAATATGAAAGACATAAGATGGAGAAGTGGAATGCAAGAGTTAAAATAGGAACTAACAGACTTGATGGCATTATTTGACTACTCAACTTTATCTGTTACTTTCTTTTCTCAGGAGGGGAGTGTGCTTAGTTATGGTCTGGCATTGTTTTTTTCTCTGTAAGGTGATGATTTTAACTGCTTGTCTGTAGGATTTTGGCAGACGAGGGTTTGTTAAGTTGAGTTGAGTCTGGGATTCTGTCCTTATCTTACTGCACTTTTTTTTTTTTTTTATTTCTTTCAAAGGCCTACACAATGGGGGGTAGTCCATCCCCCAATCCATAACCCCCCCCCCCAACCCAAGTGCAGGCGGGATTTGATCCCAAGTATCCGCTATGACCAGCAGGAGACCTTACCAACCAGCTGGTTGGCACCTTGCTATCTTACTGCAGATTGTTTCTGTTTCTTCACTTTGAAAGTAGTAGACAAGAAGTTCCTATTGCATGATTTCAATGAATAGGCTGTAGTTAACCTCGAAAGGACAGTGTCACCACTGCCTCCTCCATCACATGTGTTTGTGTTGATGCATTTAATAGTCACATTAGAGTCCCTAGCCCTTTTTACACAAGGGACTATGTGGCTGATGCGGACTAGGGGGTGAACATGTTGCTAATCTATCAGGTTTTCTACCATATGGATCAGCCGGACCATCTCTCCAGATGGGAGGAGGAGGCCATATCATATTTGGGAAGATCCAAAGGTGTCTGGTTAACCTTATTAGTTTATGTTCTTTAGCAAGTCACGTGTGTAGATAGACATAAGGTGCCACATTTGCACAATGCACACATATGCTACTTGTATAACTGAAAAGACATGTGATAAATTTAGATTTGTGCAGTCTGTCTGACAGATGCAGCAATTAACTCAGCCCTTGCCACATAACCATCATGATGCAACTCTCCTCTCATTATTTTCTTGAGTATCAATCTTTAGATGCCTGAGAACAATAGTTGGTTACAAAAGGTATGAACTTAGAAACATTGCCCACTCGAAAAACTCTAAAGGCAAAAAGAGGTAAAGGTCTTTGTTTTTTTTTTTGTGTTTAAAATTTCTATCAAACGCTAACTGTTGTGATGGACCCAAATTTGGCGGGTCAGAGACTGGGTACCAGGCTACCAGCAGGGGCTACTTCAATTAACCAGATCCATATCTTCCTGTAGATGATCTTAATCTCCATATGAATTTGTTCTTGTACATTTTTAATTTGTTACAAGGATATTATCAGTCTCACTTCTGGTGGTCTTTATAATGTTAATTCCGTTATAGGTATAGTGTTTCCCGTTGTTAGTTACCATCTTTTAGTGGTTACCTCATAAGGATGTTATCATACTTTTGTCTATAGCTTGTCTAGGTATCATTGGGTCTCATAGTTGTCAAGGCAATGCCTAGGCGGGCGCCTAGGCGACAAGGCGCCCTTTGAGGCTCGCCTCGCCTAATCGCCAAATGGCTTTGTACTATGTATTATAAAATGCTTTTTTATTCTTTATTTTTTGACATTATAATTATAAAATAGGCATTATTAAACTAAAATATTCATTCTGTGTGTTTATATACTAATTTCTTTTTATTATTTTCTTATTTGTTAGGGTTTAATGAATATAAACATTGCTAAATGCTGTGTTGAACCCCCAAAGACTTTAAAACCTGAACCAATAATAAGGAAGAACTTAAAATTTTGTCTAATCAACACATTTTCTACTACTACTACTACTACACTACATTTTCTAATCAACACATTTTCTTTTCTTCTTTTCCTATAACAAAAATAAGGGTTCAGCCCCTATATTTTTTTAAATTTCTTTTTCATCTCATGAATATGTTGATTTTCTATACTTTAACATGAACTCTATATTTTTCTTATGAAAATTATGAATAATTATGAAGGAAATATGGTTATGGTACCTAGGGAACTACCCTAGGATCTATGTTTTCTACATAAAAAATCCATCACCTAAGCGACGCCTAGGCGACTAGGCAACAAGGCACCCCCCTGTCGCCTAGCCTCGCCTTGGTGCCTTGAAAACTATGTTGGGTGTAATGTTCCAACATATCATATTGTTTATTCAGATTGCAGATGATAACATCCTAAATTATACCTTTCTGTGTACATTATGGCCTTCAACCGTTGTGCTACTAACCAAACCAGCTTGGTGATTTTATGCCTTTGCTAAGAAAAGAGATGCAAAGTAATTTCTTAGCTTCTCATCATGATTTTCTGTCTCCACTTTTTTCATTAATAGCTCACTTGAGCAGATTAGGTCTCGTCCCTTCACCTTATCCATTCATCCCATCAATATCAAAATGCATATTTGAGAATTTGGAATCTTCATTTGCATAGGGATAAGTGCAATATATGCCAACATCTTGATTTCTGGTTTCACCAATTCATGGGGGGAGTAGGAGTATGTCTGTCAATTTTCCTGCTTGATTCAATATATATGGGATAGCTATCTTTGATTATCTTGAGCACATTATTTTTAGGTGTGTGAAAAATTTTCTGTTCAGACATTTTTTTCCGATCATGTAATGACTGGATGATATATTATTCTTGAAGCATTATCTTAATAGTTATTTCAATAAGGGAAAAACGTAATGCTTAATGCAGTCTGCTGGTTTCTTAGTTTGTTGATTAGGGAGAGTGAGAACAAAGTTCTGAAGAATCTACCATGAAGCCTGACCCCCACATAATTCTTTTTTGATTAATGACTGAAATGTTATTAATATTGAAAAAAGAATCTGTATATACAGTGCCCATCACCACACAAACAAGTGTGGCCAAAGCCAACCCCTATACCCAAATCTTAATTCTTACAACCATTCAGCATTTAAAAATCACCAAAGAAAAAAAAGACTGTTTCCTTTGCACTCTTTATATAGCTAAAAGTATCAGCCAAACCATTGGCTGATCTTTGCACCCAATTGAAGTTGAGGTTCCTTTATTGTCAAGCTTAGTATTTCCTTTAATGTCTGCCAAACTGCTAATGTCCTATCTTTGTTCTGGAAACCAGCTAACCACTACTCTTGAATCACCTTTCACTGTCACATTGCTGTAATTTAGTGTTCTTTCCAGTCTCAAACCTTGCAAGGCTGCAGATGGTTTAGCCTTAGAGAAGGTTTCAACACATAACAGACCAGAAAACATTGCTAGTATTGTTCCATTTCACCCCTACATAACACCCCCAATTCCTGAAGGGCCCAGATTACCTAAGCCACACCCATCAAAGTTCAGCTTCATCTGGGCTGTGTGCCACACCCATCGAAGTTCAGCTTCTTTGCCTAGCTTTAGATAAGGATGGAACCTGCCGCCAACCTCTAAGAATGCCATTCACTGAAAAGTGAGCAAACATATCCAAGGGTTTAATCTAATGTGTCACCAACATTGTTATGGAATCAGGCACAATTTCCTTTCTCTTTTCTTTCTCTTTGAAAATTCTTCCATTTCTCTCCTCCCAATCTGACAAGACTGTAGCTCTTATGCATATCCACTTTACCTTCCCTCTCTTCGAAGTTGATTAAGCCATGCATCACTAATAACTCCCAAATAGAAGTTATTTGAGGGACATAGTGAGGAGCGTCCCGGACTTCCAATCAGAACCATAATACTGAATGGTCATAACCTTCTCTATGATTTAATTGGTCAAAATATTCTCTGTAGCACAGGACATGTTTAGGGTTTTGTGAATTTTAGCAGTTGACAACTTTAAATTTCTATTTACTGGTACTTAGAAAATGTAATTCACATGGTGTTTTTTGTGGTTATTTAAATGAAATCTAGTGCGAGCAAAAGTTACTGTTCTAAAAAAATATTGTTCTTTCGCACAAGACAGAACCATTTGAGATGAAACATTATTGCTCCCACTTGTGAAATTTTCCCAGAGGGCAATCCAGAGCTACATTGAATGTGGAATTCTCCATTTTTAGTATCACTCTATCCCTTGTTACAGTCCAAAGTTTGTAGAGGCTGATTCTGAGAAAGAATAAACTCTGTTTCTTGGGTAATAATTCTTCCCTCTGTTACGGATCTGATGCTTCATGAGAGGACAGTGGTAATTGTACCATCTCTCAAAAGAATTTTCATTCAACCGTCTCAATTCTGGCAGAAAGGACTGGTCGATGACAGATGGAGATGGGCAAATGTAGTGATAACATAGACGTGGGTCAAATGATAGAAGATGTTGCGGATACCAATCTATGAACATGTGGAGATACTATGGACCCGTTTGGTTTGCAGGATTAGGGGTGGTTATTCCGATTCCAACTGTTTCATTAGATGGAATTGGAATCTCATTCCTAAAATGGCATTCTCCCATTCGAGGGAATGACCTTCCGCCGCCCCCTCCCCCCTCCTCCCTCTTCCTTTTGGAATGAATTCATAGACCATTCCCATTTTAATTACGATTTCAAAGGATTTTGATTCTAATTCAAATTCCAATTCGACTGCAAACCAAATAGACCCTAAAAGCATTTTTTTACGTAGTTGGTACTAGAATTGAGGTTATTGAAGGGCCATGGCACTGGTGTATATGCTTTATATACTTGGTTATACCCGTACCAATCACATACGGGGATCATCGTATCTGATTGTCCATTTGGTGGATGTTGCGAATCCAAAACGTTGGTGGTTCTTTGACCTTCAGTGGAGAAACACGAGTCTATACCTGTTCATGGGCCGGGCTTCGGGATTGGCCCATGAACATTTTGCATTTCTAAGGGTTGGTGTTTTCTCGAAAAAAAAATGCCAACCAAACAGAGAACGTTTCTTTGAACCATGAAGTGCTGATGTGGTGCTGATACGTTATCGTTTTTTAGTGAAACAGTACTGGTTCGAAACATCTGAAAATTGATATGCATCAATACATTGTAATATTTTGAATTGATCAATTTACTTAGACATGGGGACTGATGCTGGTACTCATTGAGAAATTAAAACAATTTTTACATAAATATTCCTGATCAAACAATGAAGAAAACACTTTTTTTCTTGCATTCTGACTCTTCGGAGACCAGGTAAACAGAGAAACCAAAATTTACAGGAGATCTCTGAGAGTCACAACTGCTTCTCGTTTTTCCTATCCAACAGAGCAAACGAATGAGATATTAGAACAACTTTTATTTATCTGACCCAAAAGCGTCCAAAACCCAGGACCTGGTCATCCGTCCAAGTCACCGGTCACCGGTTCAACTGCCTTGGTCAAGGACAGTTTGAAATGGTCTGAAACGTTTTTAGACCAAACCAAACCATTGTAGTATAGAAGCCAAATAAGATCAAACTGTTTTGTTACAGTTTGGTCAAGTTTCTAATATGATTTAGCCATTATGTTAGGTGTGGAATTTAAAAGTTCATCATAATATATATCCTTGATTTATGTTTGGTTTGCTTTCTAAAATTAGTAAAACTAAACCAAAATTATAAACTAAAATTTGAAATTATCTCAAAATGAACTAGACCATTTCTAAGTCCAAACCAAATCAAACCGTCAACTCATTTTGGTTTGATTTGATTTCACAATCTGGACCATATAATGAACACCCCCTCCCCCGGTGCACCTGTTCATGGGTCGGGCTTGGGCTTGATTTTTGCCAAAATTATAATTGGGCCTGGCCCAAAGCCCAATATCAATAGTGTAAAATCAAGCCCAAATCCCGGCCCATGAATAGCTCTCATTTAATAAATATTTACCCTTGGCCGAAAGTCTGACCAATCTGAGCTGGGTTAAAGCGGTAAACGAACTCATACATTTGGGCCGGCCTTTTTTTGTACTTCTGATCTTGGTTGAGTATTAGGCTGCATTTGGGATTAAGAACTTTATCTCCTTTTTTGCTGTTAAAATGCCCATATGAATACAGAGTTTTTAACTGCAAAACGAAAATAAATCATTGAAATGCCAAATGCAGCCTCAGTCTATAAAGTCCAAATCACCTGGAGAGTAGTGGATCCTCCGTTGGAGTTGGAGTGATGAAGCAGCCTTCCTTGCTCGTCATAAAGGATGAGCCCGCTGAACTTGGGTAGCTCGCACTTCTCTCCCATCAGAATCGGCCTTTGCCACACTGGAGACACCGAGTTATGGCTCTGCCACCTTCCATTTGCTTCATAGCTTCCTTTCACCAGCAGTGGTGGCCTGCGCTGCTTCCAGTTCCCGGCGTCCATGTCCTCCCACCTACACGCTCCACTCCACCGCACCGAACACATCAATGCTCTCTTTATCGTTCCCCAACCACCTGCTTTAACAGCACCAGGGCCTTCGTCGATGAGCTCCTTCCCTCCGATCTTCTTCCTTTTCAGCATCGTCGTGGCGCAGAGTCCGACGACGGCGAAAGCAGCGCACACAAAGAGAAGTAGTGTTTCCTGGGTCGACAGCTTCAGTTTGTCTTCCAAACTCCACAAAGCTTCCATGGCATCTTAGGCTGTGAACTGTGTGAGTCGTCTCAGTGTCTCACTTAAGACTTGAGTGGTTTACTTATTGTTTAGGCCTAATGAATAATGGCTAGCTATTCCACTGTGGGAGTTGGCGAACTTCCCGTGACGTCCACCGGCCACCGGACCACCGCTGGCAGGAGAGTGGGCCGTGGCCCGTGGGCCAATCTGACGATTTGGGCTGGGGGTTACTCCACCCGGTAGGGAGCTAGGGCTTATATAGAGGCACAGGCACTTCACGGGACTTGTAGCCTTTTCCGATTCTCGGATTTATTGCTTAAAATCTTCCAGACCCAGGTACAAAATTACAAGTAAACCCCTCCATCTTCCTTCCACCATGACATCAAAGCCATACAATAAATTCCATAGGATGGATGATTCGGTGGTTTTGATCTTATCATCTAACGGTCCGTTTGGCTTGCAGGAATAGGGGTCTGGAATTGAAATCGGAATGGGCTATTCTGGTTCCAACTGTTTGGTTGATGGAATTGGAATCCCATTCTCATTCCTACTGGAAGGCATTCCCCCATTTAAGGGAATGGCCATTTCCTGCCCCTCATTGGAAATGAAATCCCATTCTTATTGATTTTAATTCCAATTTTTATTCTTGTCTGAACCAAACAGATTATGAAAATGGACCATTCCAATTTCGATTCTAAAGAATTTTAATTTTAATTCTAATTCCAATTCCAACTACGAACCAAATGGACCCTAAATTGATTTGTGAGATCGTTAAATACAGTTGTGGCCCACCAACAATTTGTATCTGTGCCACATATATTTTTTAACGACTTAAAAGATTCAGTGAGTTTTCAGAAATTGACTTAAAGATACTTTATCTTTTAAAATAGATTTAAAATACCTTCTAACTCTTTTACCTTTTCATTTTAAGAAAAAGGGTAATGAAAATATAATTCTTCTGGTGTATTATATTGTTATTATTCATTTGTGATGCATTTTGTGGTTCACTTGTGTTCAACAATTGCAATTAGTATTCTCTTTGGAAAAACATGCAGCCCAATACAACAAAACCTTAGAATTCAAATTATTGACTGTTCGGCCCATTGTATCATGAATAGTAGGGTTTCATGTTTCACCTAGTTAAATAGTCATATTTATTCACTGTTCATTCGAACCAAAATGTATTATATATAAGGGGGATCCGTTGCATAGGATTTATCAACGAAAAGTGAAACAATGGAAACTGTTAATTATATTAATAATTTTAGTAATTTATTATAAAAATAGTTTAATATTTTAGATTAATTATATTAATAATTTTAACAAAAATAATAAATTATTTCTAATTATTCAATAAATAATATTTTTCTCTTTTTATCCGTTAGTGTTATTTTATTTAATTTAGTCTCTTAATCATTAAATGTTATAATTAAATTAATCTATAGATTAACTTTTTAGTCATAATTAAATTAATCTAAGTGCAAGCTCAACGTTTAAGACTGTGAAACAAATCTTCGTCCCTACCTCCATCCCCATCCCTGCCAAGGCAATGTATATAAGTATAAAAAATTAAATTTATCAATTATAAACTTTATATAGTTATACATAATATATATGTATACATAAATATTGGATTTTGATCATTGTTGTTTGGTTCATTTGGAGTTGGAATTGAAATCAACTAATAATTAATATCTTAGACTTGTTTCTAGATAGACCCTTTTAATATGTGTATTAATTTTAGTAATTTTTATTAATTATAGTTATTAGGTTTTAAATATTATTATTATTATTATTATTATTATTATTATTATTATTATTATTATTTATGTCATGTATCACAAATTACAGGTTTCTAGACAAACCTGTTTAGCTTGTCTTCTTTGTATAAGTGACAAAACGGGTTCTATATTTTAAATTTTTGTTAATTTTTTATTTTTATATCATTTTAATGAGTCTTCTATTTTATATAAATCTCTTATGTAGTGTGGGCACTATGCACAATAAAGGTCTCAACTCATAAAAAATATTTATTTCAACAATATTATTAATTAGTTAATTAAAAATATATTAATACAAGGTTATCTAATAAAATAAAAAAAAGAATACACAAAGTTACAAAACAAAATACAACATTAGGACACAGGTTTTATTTGCAATATATCAAACCCATATTTAAATTATAATATTATTAAAACTATCAATTAATAGTTTTTGTATTTAAATTTCTTATTTTTATTAGTGTTTATTAAGTTTAGGGGTTGTCTCAAGCCAGTCCCCGAACATCAAAACGTGTCTCTATTGTACCCAAACTTTTAGAATGTCTCTAATAGGTCTCATCTGTTAACACTTTGTTAGTTATCTGTATCATGCGATGACATGTGCCACATAAAACTTTTAAAAATATCAAAACTACCCTTCAAAAGAATAAATTGTTCATTATCTTCTACCTTGAAAGAAGATGTTGTTCATTGTCTTTTACATTGAGATTGTTCGTTGTCTTCTACCAGTTCTACAACCGACCTATTCTACTTTTGTGAGGATGGAGTGCTCAGGGGAAAACATTGTGTTGGTAAATGTTTTCTTTTTGAATCTGAATATGAATGAATAAAATTTGGAGGTAGATGTTTTCCTTTTCCAACACCAATCCAGTCCTTTAGGTAGTTTCCAGTATGTTAAGGTCCGATAATCCACTCTGGTGAATGCTAGTTTTCTTGTAAGATTTAATCTTTTTCTTTTTATTTTTTTTTTTATATGAGGAGGATTGAATCTTTGACCTTCCAAGATGTGACTTAGTAGCCATTTGGTGGTGGGTCGTGATCCAGGTCGTACATGTATAATGATAATTAGATCATTTAACTTTGTACCCAGATGGTGAGGCTGGCAAAGGTGGTGGAGCCACAACAACAATTTGATCCAAATGTTTAGGTAACACGTGTCATTATTAGATTTGACACTGCTTTTCAATTCAAAGTTAAATAAAAACCAAGCTGAGCTTGTTGCAACTGGGGTAGGAGAGTTGTTGACGACCAACAATAAGAACAATTGAAGGACATCATAATTCGGTTGAGACCCATTATGACTACATTCACATAAAGAGATTATTTCAAGCCTTTTGTACGAGTAATGCTTTATTGTGGTCGTGCATGGTGAGCATGGAAACATTTAGAACTACTGAAATTGGTTATCCAAAAAAAAACGTTGAGAAAGTGATCGAGGAAGAGAATGATTGATTGCTAAATAATTTCATGTAGAAAGGCTTTGATTTCATTGTGTCATTTTACAGAAGAAAAGCACCTTGTGGACTTAAGAATATAGATGGTTCAGACTTCTTAGGATAAGGGCATTTGGGTGGTTGATAAGAAAATTAGATGATTTATCTATTAAAGTCCCTATTAGATACATTTAGAAAGTTCGGGTATTGCAAAGACATGTTTTGAAGTTTGGGGGCTGACTTGAGACAACCCCTAAAGTTCAAGGTCCTCATAAGAAATTTTTCCAAAAATAAATAAAAAGCACACAATTTAAAGTATCAATACACCCTTCCAGTATATTGGGGTGTATTGAAATTTTGAACTTTGCTAGAGAATCCCCCCCAGCCACTCATACTAATTATGGGGCCAATATTCTACTATTTTTTATTTATGTATTCTAAAAAATTTTGTTTGAGGCCCATTTTTTATATTGTAAATTTAGGTTATTATTTTATTTGATATATAAATTTGTTATTTATTTTAAGGGATCAAAACAAGTTTTATTTCTAAATAACAACCCACTTTAAGGATCCTACAGTAATTGAAATGAGTTTAGTTTTTTTTTTCCTTTTTAGTGGAGGTAACTACCATTTCAAGCTCATACTTTCTTTCTTTTTTTTCAAGTGAGTAAAGACAGGTATGAGGAAGTAAGTTTTGTTTGTAAGTGGAAGTATTCACTTTTGAGATTCTTTCTTGAGAAAATAAGATGCCACTTGTCTAGGGGTCAACCTTTCTCTTATGAGTGGTGGACTTAGGTTGTGTGATTACCTATAAGAGAATAATTCTTTTGGGTGTATCAAGATAGCTATACTTTGGTTTTTGTTAGTAAACATAACAAAACAAATTCATGTTTCAAAAAATAAGGCCTTGTCTCTTAGGCTCAGTTTGGAAGGAGTACAAATACAAATATGTACAATACAAATAGATATAAAATAATAAAAAATACAAGGTTTTGCACTATACATATTTGTACTCCTTCCAAATGGAGCCTTAGAAGAGAATAGGAGGGTAAAATTGGATTTCTAATTTTTTTATGTGTTTAATTGTGACCTTTCACTAATGGAGGGTATGTTTTAGTCCAATGGGGTTAATCCACAAGGTGTATTTAAGTTTATTTTAAAACATTAGGGTATGTTCAAGTCAATTTTGAAAATTCACGGTATGTTTAAGTCTTTTACCCTTTTTATTTAAATACCTATTTTTTGAGCTAGTCCTACAGTTCTTACCCTTTGATCACATCATGGGTTGATCCATTTGACTTGATTGGTTGAATTGCTTAGCTGCCACTAAATGAAATAATAATTCCATTTTTTTGATTGGTTTAAAAAAACATGAGTTTTATATTGTTAAAAGTATTGTACATAGATATAATTAATAGAATTTATTGGTGATAAAATACATTAAATATAAGATTTAATGAGAGAAAATAGAGATTAAATACGTTAAATATAAAACTTATGAGAGGGAATTGAATGAGGTATGTAGTAGCTCAAATTACATTTTCTTTCCTTAATTCAAAAATAGGGGTATTTTGGCCAAGATGTCAAATGCTCATTCATACTTTTAATAATAGTGCTAATATAGATCTAGATCGTATTTGTGTCATCAATTGTTTAAGGAAGGTGGTGGATCCCGTGTGGAGACCAAAGATTGTGCTTGATGAATGCCTTCAAGGTTCAAAGTATTGACACAATATGCTTGATATAGGGTGTATCATATTGTACCTTTGAGTGTTGATACACTTATTTACAAGTGTTGTCAAGAACTCCTTTTTTATTTAATAATATATATAAAATGATAGTTAAAGGTGAAATTTGAAAAAAAAATAATAAAACAAAAGGCACATCAATTAAAGTACTGATACACAAAAGTGTATAAATACTTTGAACCATGCCTTCATCTGTGCAGCCTCATGGAT